GTATTTCTACACGATATACTAATTTACCGAATTTTACTATATGGTTTAAACCTCAAACTCACTTCTTGATTTGTAAGAGACTCACATAATCATCAAATTATTGATCAAATAATTTAATGTATTAGACTTATAATAAAATCAACACATAAATAAATAAATCACAGAAATCTTGAATAAAAAAATAAAGGATCACAAGTCGATTATATTGTTTTCCCTAATATAAAAAATTGTAAAAATAAAAACACGCAAAAATGAAATGATATCACAAAAAATTGACAAAACGTAAAACTGCTCGTGTATGTCGTTTTCTTACTTTTCCTTTTCTTTTCTCCTCTCTTCTGTGTGCGTATTTTTTCTTTCTCTGGACTTTTCCCCATTTTTTTTTCTCTCTTTCTTTTTTCTTCTTTTCTACCGACTTTTCTTTGTCCATTTTTCCTTTCTTTTTCTTTTCTCTCTTTCTTTCCTGGCGCAATTTTCTTCTCTTCTTCCACGTTTTTTTTCTTTTCTTTTCTTTGTGTTTTTCTCTTCAGCCCGCCGTTCCCTTTTTCTCCCCATCTTTCTCTCTTTTCCTACACACACACACACAAGTTTATTGAGACTCATTTAACTCCAACACATTTAATATATTATTTCTATTCAATGTTTCATCTTTGAATTTTGTCATTTTTCGTCACTTCTGCATTCTTTTTTCTAATTTTTCATTAAACATAAAATTTTACCTATAAAATACAATATAACATAAAATTAGGTAGAATTTTATCCAAAAAATAATAAAATGTCATGATTTATAATCTCGAATAAATGTATAAACTACACTTATCAAGCCACATTACTCTCCTCCTAAGTATGAATTTACGTATAATATTATTTTATTGAAAAATGCATGATTGAAAATAAGAAAGAGAAAAATATATTTTAAAATGATAGGTATATAAATATCCGCCATAATATGACTTTTAATAAAGTGCATGAGCAAATTGTAAAATTGGACATCTAACTGTAGACCACAATTTTTTACTTTAATTGCACAAGTTACTCAGAAAATAAAAGGATTGTCATCCTTGCATGTACAAAAAAGTAAAATAAAATGAGCAAGATGAATATATAAAGCATGTATGTATGTTGATAAAAAATATTTATCTTTTGTAGCATACTCACATCGTGTTTTCTTTATGGATGTCACCATATTCAAGTACTAACATATTTTTATTTTTCAAAATATTGACCCGTTCAAAGTTATTTTTTGGACCAATGCAATATCCTTCTAAAATATTATTTTGTATAAAGTCGTATTATTTGAACAATGAATATTCTTTTAAACAATAAGATGTATAAGATTTATACTTCTTCAAGAGTATTAATATAATATTCCTCTAGAATATTGTTTAATAGAAATATTAACATGATATTCGTCATAGAGTATGATATGTATAAATATTTTACATTTTCAAGAACAATGATACAATATTCTTCTTAAATATTGGAACTTGTGAATTTGAACTAAATCAAGATAAAAAAAAAATATATATTCTTTTTTGAAAAATTAACACACGACAATGCAAAAAAATTTTTGTCCATGAATTATATCGATACTTTATCAAGAATAATATATTCTTCTTTTGTTTGAACAGAGATGAAGAGTTTCTTTATGAACTCAGTTGATTGAAATTTGTTATATTTCTTTTAACGGGAGATAATTTGCTTTTCTATCTGAGTTGATTAGAGTTTCGTGCTAATAATCCATTAAAAAATATAGAAAAAAAAATAATTAGAAGAGAGAATAAGAAAGAAAAAATTATAATCATTTCATAAATTTGTGTGTATTTATTGAGAATCGAGATCCTATATTTAGAATGTGTTTGGTAGAGATTTTTGGGAGAATAATTGATTTTTGAATAGTGATATGATGAGAAATGCGTGGTTAAAAAAAAAAGACAGTATTATTGATATGATAAAAAATATTATTTTACTGAAAAGTGTGTGATTAAAAATAAAAATT